TACTAAAACAGCCTAATGTTGCACAATCTGCAACTCTAAACATCATAACAATTAAAAATAAAAAAAAAAAATAATAATAATAATAATAATAATAATTTAACTACAGATAGCTAAGTAAGAATACAACCCAATTCTAAATCATCATCTCATTTTTTGTTCTAACTCCCACATATACATGTCCCAACACAATTTTCTCAATTATACACTGCTCAAGTAGGTGGGAAAACAAATTAACACGATTTAGAAGCCTTTGATACAAATTACTACAGATTTACAGAATGAATAATTATGAAACAGTAAAGGGCATTACAGCAAAGGGAACAATTGATAATATAATTTTAATGTAGCTAATGAAGATGGGAAAAATTGTAAGTTCTGACTTACTGTGATTGAATGGAGAAGCCGTAGGGTTCAGATTCTGCAATCTTAGCTCCATTTGCATTGACGTCTCTTTATCAGTTTTTCCTTTTTATGGGTGGGATATAGTTATATAAGTTTCTAAGGTTAATATGCGTTCATGTAAAAAGGATATAAATGTGTGCATTCAATTATACCCAGTGTTTTAAAACGCGTATAGCGTAATGCGTCGAGTTTTGGTCTTTATACTGCATAGCGTAAATAGCGTTGCCTGTTGCGTAAGCTATTTGAGCATGAATATTTTTATATATATAAATATTACAAGTATATTTGCATATAATAAATAGATGGTTGATTACAAAAATTATCATAGTATTTGAGTGACTTAAAAAATAACATCTAAGGATTAATTCCCACAAATGTTTAATGTAAATATCATCATAATATAAATATTTAATAATAAATCGAATATACTAAAAAGTAAAAAAAACAAGAAAATATAATGAGGTAAGTCATTTTAATTATTATTTTTTTTTTATTTAACTACAACTTAATTCTAACAATTGAAAATGAATGTTTTTTTCTTTATTAAATGTTAAATATCAAAAAAAAAAAATGATATAACAAAAAGGGACAAAAATATTGCACTATTCAACTTAGGACTTTGCATTTACAAACTTTTAATTTAAAATCATTATCAAAATTTTTAGTTTTTAATTGTCATTTGTAAATATGACTCTAATCCCAAAAAATACGAGTTTTTTAATATTTTATTGTTCAAATGTAGCTGCAGAAATATAGCGCAATGTAACGCACAATAGCGTAAAATAGCGTAAGAAAGCTTGCCGTTTCAACATTTCGCGTAAGCTTTTCGGGAAGAATGCTAAATATATAAGGCTATGTCGCGTTTTTCCCAAAAAAAAGCTACATAGCGAGCAATAGCGAGCTACATAGCGAGCTATTTAAAACAATGATTATACCCCTTGTACATTTATTTATTTATTTATTTATTTTGACTTTATCGAATTTGGAAGATTTTATAAGAGCTCGTGCGATACACGGGGTAGATAATTTTAAGGCCATTTATCCAGCCTTATAATTATATAAATAAACAAAAAAAATGTACGAGATATAAATAGTACGTGACCTGCGAGGCACGAGATATATTTATTTGGGGATTATCATACTATAAGATGCAATATTCAATAAAAAATTTACAATACACGAAAATAATATAAAAGTAAATATCTAAATACATACACGATATTTAGAATAAATAAGCCAAATTGTAAATATGAAAATATAATTAAAAAAAATCGAAAATATATTTCACTAAACATGTACAAAAATATCTAAATACATACACGAAAATAAAATAAAAAAATTAAAATATACGTTTCAAATTTCAAAATTAAAACGTAAATTCAAATAATTTGGCTTACAGTTTTATCATGCAGAACCAACTCGAGATATGATTTGTATGTACTGCCTCAGTCTTGGCAAAACATTCTCACAATTCGAATAAAAGACTGACTGAGAATATTTTTTGTTCGCAAGAGGGTGACAGTGAGTAAGATGATGGCTCGATATTTTGAGATTTGTAATTTATAATGGGTAGAGTAGATATATATTGTTGTTAATATTTTTATTAGAAAATCTGAATCTGAATATACAGAAATCGGTTTGATCAAAATCAGAACAGTTTTCCATACAATTAGATCAAAAATTAGATAATAAATAAAGCCTTTTTTTTATTTTAGTAAAGATTTTACGTACTTTTTTTTTACTTATCGGATGTTATGGATTTTTTTTTTGTTAAACCGATATTATGGGATATAATACAAATACAATTAGAGGATTGAACAACATCAGAACAGCTTTCCATACGATTAGATAATAAGAATGAATTAGATAAGAAAAAGAAGAAATTAGATAAGGAATTTTGAATCTGACTTTTTTTAGTATAGATAGACTTTACGTACAAATTTTGACTTCAGCAATTTTATGGGATTTGTTTTGACAACATCGATGTTAATATGGAATAAGACAAATAAATAAAACTTTTTTTTTATTTTAGTAAAGATATTACGTCTTTTTTTTTTACTTATCACATGTTATGGAATTTTTTTCTTAAACTGATTTTATGGGATATAAGATAAATAAATAAAATAATTAAATAAAATTCTGAATAGAAATAGCAATGCATTAATTGCGTTGACTTTTCAACCTACTAAATTTGATACATAGGATACTTTATTATATAAGTATAGATATGAATATTTGTGTTACCTGATTCAAAAATTAGCATTTCGGTTATGACACAACACTTTGATAATTTATATATCGCGCTCCCATGAGAATGATGCTCAAGGAAAGAAATAAGAAAGCACCGTAGCCATTCGATCGCATGATCTAACGCTAGAAAAAAAAAGCATAATTATACCTTCATTAAAGATAATTTAGTAATTAACAAAAA